ACATCTCTAAACCAAAGAACTGATTCTGATCTTGTGTACACCAGTTTTACACTGGTATAATTCATTGACTTCACTGGAGTTACTCCTGATTTACACTAATATAAATGAGATCCAAATCAGGACCTACATATTCACTATGACTTAGCTCAGTAGTGACATTGAGTATAATCACCACTGATTTGACTCTTTCAGGATGACTGTTTAGTTGGGCTAAAGCTGTTTTTATTAGTAGTGTGCGTTTTCTTCGGGCTGAGATGTTACTCTAGTTAATATAAAGATCTACTGCTATGTTGTTGCTATTCCAAACTCCTCTAAAAGAGGTAGACATCAAAGGTCTTTACCCATCACATTCTTTCTTCTGATGAAGGACTTTATTTGCATCCTAGATTTGAATTCCTGCCTGACTCGCCTAGTTGTGATCTCGCCGTCTCTCATTCTCTGACCAAGTTCCTGTGAGCCTGATAGGCTTTCTGACTCTGCTTCATTACATATTCTCATTTATTCTAATACATAATGTTCCAGACTTCTGAAAAAGTCAGTCCTAAAATGAAGTTATTTATTTCTCATGACATTTTTGAACACTTTGGATATTTAACTAAGGTACCATAATTTTAGCTTATGCTCTTTCAATTAGTAAGACAAATTTTTTGTATAGCTCATTTAATGAGCTGCTTTTGTGTGCCCTCATTATCTGTCTTGTTCCAGCGAAACAGACTTTTAAATTGGGATGGGTCAAGAGAGCCCACTCAAAATGACTTCTGACAAGCAGCTGACATTTCACAGCACTTTGGATGCTCTAATCTTCATGCTAATAAGGACATTTATTCCTAAAGAGTTTAATAATTGTCGATGGTTTTAGAAATAAAAAATGTAGCACTTAAGTCATGCACAGTGTACAGTCCTACAGCAACCTGGGCTTGGTGAATGGCACAGAGCAGAGTTTGAAACTTCTTTAATGAATAAGTAAATGAAATAAAGAATAAAGACCTATGATGCTTTTTATAATGAAGTCTCGCAAGTTAAAAATAAGTGTTCATTGGTATGTTTAAAAATTGGAATAGTGTTGAAAGTCTGTGATTTGCATGAATCCCACCCAGTGATTTCTGGATCCATATCTGCAAAGTAACAGCTTGGATCAAGCCCTAACAAAGGACATTATTCTCAAATGTTATGATCTGATATGATTATTGCAGGACAAGACAAAGACAACAACAGATTCATTTTCCTTATACTAAAACTTTACTCCTTGGCAGAACTACATTGGCTGGTAATGTCAGATTACACCTCAATATATTATTCAGTCTGATTCTGCCAGGTTTGAGACCCAAATCCAGCATCCAGGGAAAGCCTTCCATTGATTTTTAATGGGAATTGGTTTGGGCCCTAAGTCTGGAGGAACTCTGTTGAAGTCCATAAAGTCCACCAGCATAAATAAAAAAGGTAAATGTGAGGAAAATCAGCACTATTGTTTCAAGTATCTTGTACTTTTTCATCATGAATAATGTGAAAGGAAAAAATCCATAACTTTGTCTAGTATTAAATTAATTTCAGAACAGTGGAGTCAGTTTAAAAAACAAACAAACGTTTTATTTTTGATCACAATTATTTAGTTATACATTCCAGCCAAATTTGGGTAACCTGAAGTTGGCACCTAAATCCATATTTAGGCAGGTAAATACAGGTGGCCTGGCTTTCAGAGCTCAGCACCAACAACTGCCACTGCCTTTAGTTCCATGGAAATCTCCCACCTTCAAAATAAATATGTTGCATCATTGACCTCATGGGAGCTGTTTTTTCTCAGTATCTTTGAAGATCAGGTTCCTTGTTGCTTAGGGACCTAATTTTAGGCATCTAACTTTGAAAATGTTGGTTTATGTTGATAATATTTTCTAAGTATTTGTCACCAACATACTTATTTTGGAAGAGCAATACAATTTTATTGTCACAGTAAAGTTCTGTGAATTATGGGCTATATTTACACAGCTGTTTAAGCACCTACTGCAAATAGGAGCCTAGTGGGATTGACAAAAGTGCCTGAATGAGTTAGGAACATAACTCACTCAGGCACTTTTTTCAATCCCACTAGGTGCCTATCTGCATCTTTAGGTGCCTAAATCTGTCCCTATGTCTATATGAACTTACAGTTAAAAGTCTATTGCACTGAATTTAAAAGAACTATACAGGTTTTAAAGTGTGTGTGTGTGTGTGTGTATATATGTGTATATATATATATAATATTTACCATCCAATCCCCATTTTTATATTTACATTTTATTCTCAAGGAGATAATCTGTAAAGATTTCTGATATCTTTTGTTGATTTGCTATTCAAGTGGCTTTGTTTCTTAAGCCACTGCTTAGTATGGACCTGATTTGCAAGGTGTCAAATGCTTCTTGAACAAGACAGAGTGCTGTCAGCTCTCACTGACTTCCCACTGGAGGTTTCTGCCATCTCTTAGGAAACATTTTATCCATATGATGTCTACAGTTACATTATTTAATGCTCTGTTGCTCTGAGTTTACTGTGAACATTATGATATTCCCAAATAAAAATGACATCAGAGACTTGGATTTAACATTTCTCCTGTGGACATATAGATCTATAGTATATTTCCAGAAGAAATATACTATCTCTGCCTAAAGTAAAATATCATTGCTAGTACCAAGTAGTTATCCACCTATGACTTCATTCATGAATGATTTATGACCCATCTAGAGACAATTTAGATTTAATTTATATGGAAAAATCATGAAGGATGCCTCCTCCATATAAATTGCACAAAATTGGTATCTATCAAGATAGACTGTTTGCAGGTAATTGCCCTGTTGTGTGCCAATCTGTAGGTGAGCAAGCCATAAAGTAGAGCAGGAGAGCATAAAGAGCACTCATATCTGCATAACCATGCAAAAAAAGCCTGACTCCCAGTGAATTAAAATAATGGAAATATTTTGGAAAATTCAATATGTATATTAGGTCAACCCCAGAGCTAAACTGCTGAACAATAGCTTAAGCAAATGAATGCAAGAGTGAATTGATCAGGGATGGTATGAATGCCCAAATCAGTTTTGATTTTGTACGCAAATCCACATCTATCATTAGGAAAGGTATTTCGAATGACTTGGACAATGTTTTGAAAAAAGATATGACTATCAAATAGGGTATCTTGAGGTGTCATGCTAAATCTGCTAAATCCCATGATTGGTTGCTTTTGAAGACAGAGAGGCCAGCTGAGTAGTTGAGTTTATGATTGTCTGGAGGTAAGACTTTACAAGTGAAAATAACTACAGCATAGCCAGAAGTTGTTTTCCATGACTTTAAACCACAAGAAGAAGAATGGTCCTGTGGTTGAGGTGCTAGCTGGACACCTGCATTCTCAAGTAGAAGAGCTGTACTTCACAGCAAAGGCACGGGAGCTGCCATTTTGGAAACATTTTTGCCATGGTTGAAAAATGAAAGGTTGACAAAGATATTGGTAACATCTACATGGTCCCTAGCAGAATAAAAGGTGCAAATGATTCTAACGTACATAGATATTTTGCACATGCCCGGCTGCTTTGCAGCAAGGAAGTGTGGTTAGAACAAAAACCAGAAGCTGATTAGACATGTCAAGCACTCTTCTGTTGTCTCTAAATTACAAAGGGATTTAGGATAGGCTCTTCTACAACTGATTCCAGCTGTTGTGACCTGGTGGAACTTCAATAACAACATGTTAAGAAACTGGCTGTTGAGTGGGTGGGGGAGGGGAAGATTTTACTTTCATGTTTGAAATAATAGTATCAACTCACTAACAGAATCCTAGATGAATGTTACAGACACTATCCTGGATCCATTTGAGGTGCCATCCTGCAAGGTCAGCTCCTGCTAAGCCTGCAGTATGACCCACTGCTGTGGTGAAATCTGGAGTTCAAGCACTGAGAGTGCACCTAAACAAAAAAAGCCCCAGAGGAAGGCATTAGAGCCAGGAAAATATAATTTTTAAAATCCATTTCAGGCCTAATGAAAGACCGAAAAAGTTTGGGCTTTCATTTTAAGATCAGTGCCACTTTTCAACTACAAAAAGAACCAGAAAACCGAAGAGCCCAAAATAAACATGGAAGACCGAAGATGAGTTGTTATGAAATCTTTAAAGAAAAGCAGAGCAGATATGACTGAAGTGTGTGACATATCTGGGGGAAGTTATGGACTGATTTTTAGTTGCACAGCTCACTGATTGTACAATATGTATGCTGACCATGTTATATAAATACTTAGTAATAATAATTGCTAGGCTACACTGTTAATGAAAATGCTATGGAAAGAGGATATTCTCTGTATTTTTCAAAGGCCAATATGCTGTAAAAAACTGACTCTGCAGGCTGGAGGAACCATAATTCTATCAGTCTTCCCAAACTTTCTTTTCTCATTCTGTCTTTCCCTGGAGCTCTGCACAGCAATTCCAAAGCTATCTATTCAGATCATGCCAAATACTCTGATATTTTGTGAATAGATGTTGTAGTCAGCCAGGATACAATTTAAAATTGGCCAATTCATTTCAATATTAAATGTTGATTTTTAGTGACCTTTTGCCATTTTTAGTATCTGGCCACTTAGTTTATATATCATATGCTTTACATATTCTAATTTATGCAATATTGTATTTTATTAATACTGTAAATGGCATTGTGTGACACCCTCCTGTCACCATCCCTCAGTGGGTCACAGCTGAGAATTCCAGATTCAGGACAAACTGCTGAAAAATAGGGCAGGCTCACCCCAAACTGGTGGTTATTCTATCATTAGATTATACCAAACCTGTACCAAAAATAAACTTCTATTTCACCACACTGGTTAACAAGAAATCAAAAATGCAGTCTATTTAGGCATTTCAGCCTTTGTCTCACCACCCAGACACTGGATTCTATGACGAGTGGTTACTGAAAACCAATTTAATCAAATATAGGGTCGTTACAATCTCAAGAGATCAGCCACTTAGCCAGGTCAATATATAACTCAGATCTTACCCAATAATCAGGCTGCTGTCAATCCTTCAGTAACTGGTATCTAAAGGTTTATTAAGAAAAGAAGAAGAGAGTTAAAATGGTTTATAGATCATATACATACAATAATTGCAAAGTCCTTTTATCAGGTTTGTAGCAGTGATGTTATAGGCTGCTGACTTATAAAGTATCTCTGGTGACTTCCAAAAGATTGGAAGGTCCTCACTCCATAGTTCAATATGCTCCTTTTAGTTGTAAATCCAGAGAATCAGAGCAGGAAAGAGGCAAAATGTACTTATCCCAGGGGTCTTTTATACCCTTTGCCATGTGCCTGGAAATTTTCTGTTTCAAACAAAGTTCACAGCTCAGTTTGTGGAAAGTTACTGACCCAAGATGGAATCCAGTGTCACATGAGCATATCACATATTCTTACATGACTTGAGGACTCCCAGAGAAAGCCATTGCTCATATCCATGCTGAGGCATCTACAGGAAGATCTATGTGGGTGGAATGAGTTTTTCTGTGGCCCATTGGTGGAGTGAAGGGTATTTAATGGGCCATCAAACTTGATTAGTCCATTCACAAATGTGCTGGCTAGACTGGATATAAACTACCTTGTGTCTGTTACCCCAGCCAGCAACAAACACATTTGAGATATAGATACATAGGCAATATTAATAATTTCCTGTACAGTGATGATACATTGATTTAAACAGAATAATCTTATTTAGCGAATCATAACTTTTCCATTAACACCTTAAATGACCTATTTTGTACAAGATTGTCTAACAGTGGCAATATCCATGATATAAGTGATCATATTTCAATCATACAGCATCACACCTCCAAAATTTTGAATTTGGTGTGATATGAGGAGGTATGTTATGTATAGTAGTTGCTAGCTCTATTGGTTTAGCTTTTAAAAGCACTCTCTATAGTGTGGTTTTATGAATTTGCTGTTGTTGAACTACTGGAATAAATTAGCCTTTTTTGTTGTTGTTATTCACCAGAAACTGTAGCATATCTTCTCACATGGGTTTGTATTTAGTAACCATTAACATTTCAGGGGTTTATTCTCCACCTGAAAATTACAGCGGACTTGTCACTTATATGAAACTGATATTCAATAAAGATAAGCAATTCCTCAAATGAATGCCTGAATGCACTCAATTACAGTTTCATGCCATTGATTGACGCCAGCAACAATACTCAAACATTCTAGCACTTTCCTACTATTTGAAAAATTAAACCAACAGAAATCACACTTGCATCATGCACGTTCCATTGCCATCAACTTTGTCACCAGTGTTGTGTTCTGAATTCTGTTCAATTTCTTTCTATGTTCAGCACATAATTGATGAGTGACAATACAAACAAGATCTCTTCTACTGTTGTTTGCAGTGTAGTTGTAGCCGTGTCAGTCTCAGGACATTGTCTCTCTAATAAAAACTAGAGGCAGCATATGATTGGAACTTAGCTGTGGGATTCTATGTTTTCCAATATTCTTCATATGATTGTTTAATAAAGATGCAACAACATGCTATAATTGTAATCAAAGTGTGAGTACTGGATATGCTTTATGGTGCCCATGACATTAGTTCCTTACTTTTAAAGACTAAAAGACAGAATTGTGTTGTATTTCACCTTCTCAAATGTTACAGTAGGCATGATGCTATTCCTGCAATAATCAGAAGTATTTGTTTCCCTGATGTATCATGTCCATCCATTACAGCTTAACAAATCCGTGCATCAATATTTTGGGCCTGATTCTCCAATTCTCTGATTGGCTAAACTCCATTAACGCTAAGTGAAGTGATTCCTGATTTATATCTGTTTAAGTGAGAACCAGTCCTCTGTTTCAATCAGAATCATGCCAGTGTTTCTAGTTGACAGTAAATGAAAAATTATTTATTTGCAAAATTTAAAATAGCTCCAAAGTCCACTATAATGGGTCATGGTAGGTAATATCTTTTAAATAACTCAGTGAATATTATTGTATTGAGCAGATTTTTTTAATTGGCTAAGCATTGGAATATAATTATCTCTGACATCATGTTGTGAAAAGCCTGAAAGAAAAGTCCTTTGTTAAAAGAGTATTTATTTCCTTACTTGGTTAGGACATAGGATTTTCTATTTAACAAAAGCATTTCTTTAATAGAAAATTATTGTGGCTGCTTTTTGTAATTAATTTTACCAGCTTAAGCAAAATAATGAAACATCTTAAAAGGCTATTCTCTTGAATTGTTTAATTTGTTAACACCAGTGTCTGAGAGGATAGCTGCCAGTGTATTCCACCTGGACTCCTGCACCAAGATATCAAAATAGACCTACAATATAGACCACTTTGATTGCATTAATGCTGCCAGCATTAAATGCTGCTAGAGTCTCTAAACCCCTGGGACTTTTACTTCACTTGACCTTCGGTCCAAGAAAATGCTTTGACTAAGTTTTGCTTTTCCCTTGTTAACTGCATTCACTCAGTTAAAAAACCTCTGTTGTTCTGAGAATTACAAATGCATTATATGCTACTTCACAATTGCTGCTTTATCCTGCAGGAGAAGATGTACGTTAATTACCACTTGCCAACGCATTCTGTTATCTCACAGTTAAGCTTTGTGGTCACTTACTAGAAAATGAGGAGGGAGGGGACTCATTTTTTGCAAAAGAGATGTTAAAGGATTTCTGACAACAAATTTATTAAATATTATACATTTATATACATATTTAAACAGTATATATTACAATATTTTGTCATATTAAAAGTTATATAATATTCTCCAATATAAAAATGAAAAAAAATCAAAATGAAAAGAAACAAAAAACCTCAACTTTCTGCAGTTTACCAGCATTTCTATTAAAATGGGTAGAGCACCTTTAAAAATCCTAATTTTCAAAGAATCTTTTTACTGTGCAAAACAAGAAATACTAAGCTTGGGAAATATTTGAATAGGACAGCTGAAATTTATTGAACAAAGTTGTCTTGATTTCAAGGGATATAACCGTTACTGTCATACATGCTTTTCTATTTAAGAAAGGGCTAGAAATTGGACTTCCTGGGGCAGATTTTGAAGAGACCTCAATTCTCAATTTCTCCTATTTAGGCCTCTACTATCACTTGTAGGATACTTAGTCCCAAACCCTGAATCTTCTGCAAAGAGTATTGCTGGGATCAGGGGCTTCCTCCTTCAGCCTGAGGAGCGATAGTGATATAATTGCATAGTTGCTGTTACAGCCCTAGACCCTCCTCAAGAGAGGCACCTCTGACCTCCACCTTGTTATAAGATACGGGCAGTTGTGGATTTACCAGACACACTTCAGGCACAATCACAACCCTCCTTCATAGTAAGGTTCAGCCAGCCCCAACCCATTCTGTCAGTTTTTCAGGGCGCATGAGCACAATGTTCCATGCTACACGCTCCTATTGGCTGTTGTGAGCCCATGGAGTTCTGAGGGAAGGGAGCACAGTTTGCTCTATAGTGGAGTTTCCCATTTTCAGCCAAAGCCTTTCACTTATGCAAACATTATGCATAAAAAGACACCAATAAGATGATGGTTTTTTTTAAAACCAGATGTAAAAACTTTTATGTTCTATTGGAAGCAGCAAGAAGTCAAATCTGTTTCCTGAGAACTGTGTATAGAAGGCCAAGTCCTGTAAAAATTACCTAATTTCCAGTGTTTTCTTTAGTTAAGCAGTCCATATGCAAACACAATAAATATGCTAGCAAAACACCATTGCTCTGGTTAATAATAAATCTTACTATAGTAATCTACAAAGGCTCTAGTCAGGGTTGGGTCCCATTGCGCTATTTGCATGGAGCCTCTCCTGGAGAGCTTACCTCCTTTATTTCCTTTTGAAATGTTACCTAGTCTGGCTACAGAGTTAATCTTTTATCAGAAATTTTTTGTTGCTGTTGCTTGGTTTGTACTGGGGAATTATTTACTTATTCAACATCAGCAGAGCGAGCTAACTGTATTTATCAGTCTTGGCCTTAGGGCACAAAGTACACGTGTTTTCCATCTCTGCTTTTTTTCTACTATCCTGGAAGTCTTTCATGATGCCCATTCTCCTTATGACTTTCTCTAACTACCAACCGATCACCTTCTTCAGCTCAGTTTTCAGAAAAGACACTTCCAGAATTATACCATTATTCATTAGGCAAGATCCAAAAGGTCATTCTAAGCCCTCTGGGTGGAATTGTTTGTACAATATCTGCTTCTCAAATGTCCAGTGGGTGAAGTACACACACACTGTAAAAGAACCCTCCAATCAATAAGCATCTTGTGTCTTTGTGCATATCCAAAAGGCATGAAATGGTGTTGGCTCAATAAGTATAGACAGAAATTACATTTTTCCTATTTGGGAAGTGCTTTAATGTTGTATATTGTAGTTATGTATTAGCTTTATGCCAACTTCTGTCCTTGTTCTGAGTCATCAGCACCTTCTGATCCTTTGTCAGTCCTTAGTATACTTAGAGAGTCCATTTGTCTTGAACTTGGTTTGTAAGTATTCAGGCAACAAACCAAACAAACACATTGGATGTTGTCTGACTGTGTTCTTTCTTCAGAACTTTTTCAGTCATTCAGCACAGATGAAAATACACTCCAATAACCTACTTCTTCCTGACACCATTCTAAAATCCCTTAATCCAGATGCCTCTTTCTAAGAGCTAAATAAGGGATGTGATGAAATATAGCTATTCATTTTCACATTGTGTATTAATAATGCCCATTTTCCATTCTTTGTACCTGCTCAAATTGTGCTCAATGAAAAGACACAATTAACAAAAGCAAAACAACAAACATGGCAATTAAACAGATTTTTCCTTGGTGACACAATGATAAATCTGATCATTCTTGAGTGCCATACCATTCTGGTGGCATGTGGGCTGTCACACTGTCTATAACGGTTCACAGCCATGAGTGCCAACCGCAGGGCAGACTGTCAAAAACCAGGGCAGACACCCCAAACTGGTTGTATGTTCAATAATTAGATTTCACCAACCCAGTAACAAATGTTAAGTCCTGAAACACTATAACAGTCTTACCATGAAGTCACAGACAGTCCC